TGACACATGCAAGGCAAATATTCTACAGGGTCCTGACAGTTATTTGAGAGTTTTTACTTCCTCATGTGGCATGTGACTTTGAAACAAAGGAGGGAGTTATAGCTATAGACGGAGGTTTATAATCTTGAAACCATCTGAAACTAGTTGAAATTGATTTTATTTCCTCACCTCAAGTTATTTTATAGCTTATCTTGCAGGGTGTAAGCTGAACACATGCAGAGAGAAAGATCCTGCCCTCCAGATGACCTCAGGCAGCAGAGGAACCTGAAAATTCTCCACGGAAGGACTGGATTCAGGCTCAACCAATCAGCCCCTTGCCTGAGTCATATGACCTGACTCTAGCCCAGCCAATCTCCCTTTGTCTTGCCATGTGATTTGAACAGGAGGCAGCCAATCCCCAATCTCTGATCCTTACTGATCCTTCAAGAATCCATCCAGGCCCTGGTTTGAGGAGACAGATTTGAGAACCTTGCCTCCTGTCTCCTTGCTGGTGGACCTTGCAATAAAGCCTTTTCTTCTCTCACAAAATCAGTGCCATGGTATTGGCTTCTGAATGCATAAGGCAGCAAGACCTTGCTCGGTAACAATCTGATTAAGTACATGGTAAAGATGGATTCTGCTGTAAGAGGGGCATATGGAAGTAAGGGAAAATGTTATTTTTTGACTGTGCAAGGTAGTATCTGGATTGCTGAGAAAACTGAGCAGACTGCCTCCATGTGAAAAAAATAATTCTTTAAATTACACCTTTTTAAATCTCAATTTTCAATAGGAAATATTATTAAAGTCAGATATTAATAGAGGGCCGGCCCTGTGGCGCACTCGGGAGAGTGCGGCACTTGGGAGCGCAGCAGTGCTCCTGCTGCGTGTTTGGATCCTATATAAGGATGGCTGGTGCGCTCACTGTCTGAGCGTGGTGCGGGCGACACCAAGCCAAGGGTTGCGATCCTCTTACCAGTCACAAAAAAAAAGACAAAAGAAAAAAAAAGATATTAATAAAAAAATATTTTAGTACCAATTCAAAGAGATAGGAAAAAACAAATATTCATTTATTCTGATATTGAATGTTGATAAAAAGTACAAATATTTAAGTTCTTATATATATATATATATATGTATATATATATATATTTTTTTCCTTTTTGTCTTTTTTCGTGACCAGCAACGGGATCGCAACCCTCGGTGTCGCGCCCACACCTCGCTCAGCCAGTGAGCGGCCGGTCTGTATGTGGGATCCGAACCCTCGGCGGAAGCGCCACCGTGCTTCCCAAGCGGCGCACTGTAGCAGTGCGCCACCGGGCCGGCCCCCTAAGTTCTTATATATAAGATCATACTGTATATTGATTTTTTCCATTTTTAGTCCTGTCAATTATATATTGGGAATTTCGCATCTCACAGTTAGTCACAAAAATGAGTATACAATTATTTCAAGATTTCACATAGAAGCTGAAATACAATTTGCATAAAAAATTCATGTTTCTAATATTCTATTCACTTTCTCAGTTTTTATCCATGTGTTTGGAAATGTTCACAAGCTAGGCCTCCACAGTCAGGTTTTAAGTTGGTAGAGATTAGAGAACAGGGCCAGCAACCTCCTGTGCTACACACGCATGTGTGTCTCCCATATTCTACCCCATCCTCTCTGCCTCTCAAGCTCTCATTGTCTCTAATGGGACTATTTCTAGCCTATGCTTTGATCACTCTGTTCCCAGTTAACACCTCACAGCCACGACCAAGGTCTTTTACAACATAGATCTTATCACTTTACTCTTTTCTGAAAGATAAATACAAACCAAGAACTAAAGAAGCACACTGGAGAAGGGGCAAATACAAAAGAAAAACAAAGTGTAGGAGAGTTCATGAACTTGTAGGCATTTGAGAAATTATATTAATTTGATCAAAATCAGAAAGACACAACACCAAAAATGTAAAATGAATACTAAAAAATTAAGACAATCATTTTAAACATGTAAAAATTTTGAACTCATTTCTCTGTCCTTACAGGAAGAGAACCAGCCTGGGGAACTAATGGGATGGGATACCTGAGCTCTGTGTTAGGAAAACTCTTCCTTGCCTGTGGGTTTAGAACCAAGTAGATTTGGCCTCTTCTTTCTTCTCTGTTGCCTAACAATTTTAACTTCACCAGCATTAAACTAATTGCAGTTCCCTAAACCCATCCCGTTATTTTACGTCTGTGATTTTCTACATGTCTTTTTCTCTGTTGAGAATTTCCTTAATTTCTTTGTCTGACAAACTGGTTGTGTCTTCAAAACCCAGCACAAACATTACCTCAATTTTTCATCTCTTCAAATTCCTTCCTCTATGTCATCATTAACCCTCTATGTGTGGTTTTAATGTACTTAAAATAGTGTATTATATTTATTTGTTTTTGTAGCTACTGTTCCCTCTAGTCTTGATAAATCCTTGAGGACAGAATCCATGTCTTTTTTATCTTGGTATAAGAGTCACCAGCACAAAAATGTTGCCAAATATATGTGCGATCCATGTCTTCTTTCCAGCTGTGACTGTTCTATGAAAGGAGCTTTTTGGCTGATTATCCTTTGTCTTTTCATATTTGAGTTCAATAGCTAGTCCCAGGGGAAGATCAAGGAAAAGTGGTCTGCATCTTGATTCCAGATTTTAAAAAGCCTCTAGACCTCATTCTAAGGAAAGAGCAGAAGAGAAAACATTGCCACTGGGACTAAAAAACAAACTCCTTTCACAAATGTAACTGAGTTTGTTTACATGCTCTGGAGTATAAATGTTTGAAACTATGCAATGACAGTAAAATATGATATCAGATTCTGCAGGCAAAAAGCCATAGGACCAATATTCCAAAAATGGCCCATTAATTTCTTCTTTTATCCATCAGCTGCACAGCTTGAGATTATATTTTAAAAATCCGATCTTGTTTTAAACCATTAAAATATTTTCCAGTGTCTAAATAGCAGCCAATTCTCTTTATACTATTCACGATTGCAGCCTGTCATTGTGACCGGTTTTTTCCACTACTTAACTGAGTATAGTATCATTTCCATTTTGCTACTGCATGATAGAACTAAGAAATGTAAGCTATAAAACTGCTCTCGTCAAGAAATATTAATGGTGGGGGGTGGCCATATCCTTTTACAATGCTTAAAAGCTTAAGCTGTAATAATAAAAAGTTGGCTTTTATTTCCTGAAATAATCAGCAGAAGAACTTGAAGGAAATGAAAATAAAATCCAACAGGATTACAAAATTAGGGCAGAGTTAAGGAAAAATATTTTGAGTAGCAGAAGAAATCTAAAATAAATAAAAAATAATAATACACTCATGATACTGCTATTTGACCCAGACAATTGCTACTAAGTTATATAATTGGAGACTCCTTGAAGAATCTAGCAATGCACTCATTGGAGGAAGGCAAAAAACCAACCAAACAAACAAATAACCACAAAAAACTCTCCTTGTATACTCACCTAGATTCAACCAGCTAGATAAAGGTCCTTGAAGAATCTAGCAATGCACTCATTGGAGGAAGGCAAAAAACCAACCAAACAAACAAAAAACCACAAAAAAACTCTCCTTGTATACTCACCTAGATTCAACCAGCTAGATAAAGATAAAAATGGATTGGTGGTTTAGAAAGAAAGAACTAGATCAAAACCACGTCAGATATCAGAATGGTGAGACTAAAGGAATAGAGGAACCTAATTCTTGACAAGACTGGTCTGTGCTTAAAGAGGAAGAAGACAATATCACATCCGATTACTGAGAACCATGAGAAGAGGTGAAGCTATGTGATTCACATTGATTCATTAGTAACAACCCCACACCTAGTAAACTATTGTAAGTCTAGCATTTAAAACCATGGGGAGCTACTACACATGTCTGAGTATTTCAGATTTGAAAGGTATAAGGGAGTAAGGTAAAATCTGTCTTAGTATATGACCCAGAATCTCCAGGAAAGGTGTTACAAAATTCAACAAGGCTGGTCAGTTGTTTAAGGCACAGCGTCTCATATATCTGGTTAATAATGGAAAGAAAGTTCAGGAAAATTTCCCTTGTTAGTGTGTTTGCAGAATTTAAGTTTCTAATAAATACATAATAATCATCATGTTTTTCAGTTTCCTTCGACCCACATAGTCTCTTGTAACAAATCTTCAAAGTAGAAAATAAACAGCAAACACCTCTCAACCCTCACCAGTGCCTCTGCTTGAGCTCTATTTTGAGTATCTCCTAAAGTTATATTTAAAAAAGAATCTTTCACCTATTTTAAGTATTTATTTTATTTTGTCTCAGCTCAACAATAAAGTCCTCTTTTTCTACTGAATCTATCCTTTGCAGCTTTTCTGGACATTTTTCTAGTCACAGATTTCTCTTAAGACCTGCGTACACTCTCCCCAGACAAGTGTGTCTGGACATGCATGTATATCTGTGTGCACGTGTGTACATGCACACACACATGTTCTTGCACACTCACATGCATAGTCAATGCTGTGCGTACCATTTTATGGGTTCATTGATCACATAGTGTCATCTGTGGATTCCAGCTTATGATTTCCTGCTTTGTTGACTTGTGCTGTTCTGGCCTTAGACTAGACTGTTCAAAAGGGCAAGTCCTCTTCTAGTTCATCCAGCTCCATTGTAATGAACAGTATGGAGCTTTAGATGACAAGGTACAAGTTTGTTTCACTTTTGTCCCTTCCCCTGTGGAATGTCTCTATACTCTTTTTCATCTCTCCCCAAATGATCTTTGCTGGGAACATTTTAAACACTTCACATAAATTATGATAATATTCTGATCAAAGCACAAAGGTTTAATTTGGTTCTAAGCAAATTTCTTACTATAAGATACTTACTATAAAGAATTTTTTTTTTTTTTTTTGGTGGCTGGCTGGTACTGGGATGCAAAATTATATTTTAAAAGACATTGAACACTGGGGGGCCCATAGAGAACAATAAAACAGAGAAAAAATAAATAAATAAAAATAAAAGACATTGAAGGCCTTGTCAGGGTTACCTGGCAAAAACAACTCTCTTTGGAGCTTTGCTCTCGCCTGCTGCGAAAAGCACCTTTTCTTCAGCCAGTCAGCTTCGAATTCACTGTAATGCTCATCCGGCCATGTGATATATACCTTACAACAAAAAAGCAAGTATCATCTATATGTATATTATGTTTCTATCTACTTCAGTTCTTCAGTGTTGCTCTGTTATTGAATGTTATTTGATATAATCAGGGAATCCAAGTATCCTTTTTTTTCCTTCTTTTTTAAAGACATAGAGTAAGCTTAGGCTTTTGGAAAACAAGGAAACTGCAAGCCAAAGGGATACATCTGATGTCGCAGGCCCGTAAATAGCAAGCAAGAAATAGAATCTGGCTATTTTTGTCCTATATCCTCTAATCCTGTGGTCCTCAAACTTTCTGTGATGACTGAAGCTAGATATCAAATAATATTCCTTCCAAAAGTATTAGAAATAATAATGATGAGGAGGACAATAATAATAACAAATATAATACTATTTTGAGTGCTTACTATATAACAAGCACTGGAGACATATCTCATTTAATCCTCATAACAACTCCAGAGAGGAGGTACTACTATTTTTTTGTTTTTTAGGGGAGGAATGCAAGATTAAATAATATTTCTAGGTCATACAGCTAGTAAGCAGTAAAACTCAGGAGTAACATCCTCAAGCTGAGATGAGGATTGGAGAGTGATAGGAATTCCATTAGGGGAGGAATGCAAGATTAAATAATATTTCTAGGTCATACAGCTAGTAAGCAGTAAAACCCAGGAGTAACATCCTCAAGCTGAGATGAGGATTGGAGAGTGATAGGAATTCCGGTAAATCTGGAAGAGAGAAGTAAAGGGTGGAGGCCACATCTGGTTTGTTGCTTTGAGAGCTGCGCTTTTGGGAAGCCCAGAACAAGCCTTGCACATCTACCTATTAGTATGACTAAAACTTATTAGTCAGTACTGTTTTTTGAGTGCTCACTGTATGCCAGGCACTGTTAAACACTTTTACCTATATTCTCAGTGAATCCTCACAACATCTCTATGAGAAAGTGCTGTTTGTATATCTGTTTTACAAATGAATGAACTGAGGCCCAGAAGCATTGCTTTTATTGTAGAAATATTTTGATCCTGTCTTCAAGGTTGCCACTCACTAAAAGAGTAATGAGCAACACTGTAAATTTTATTAAAAACAGAAGTAGTAATAATAATTATAGTAATAATAGTAGCAGAAATTTGCATATATTGATTACACTTAATCTGCACCAAGCACTATACAAACATGGCTTCATATATAGTTATATATACGACCAAATGAAAAATAGTTATTTAAATTGTTGTAGACTAGCCCCTTTATTTAACTTGAGAGAGAAGGGAGAATTCATCTTGAGATAATTACCTTTTTTCTGTCAAAGGTCAAGTCTTCCATACAAATGTTCACATCAAGAGCTTCGATGAGAAGTTTTCGTGCTTTTGCAGAATCCAGGTAGCAATCAGAGCACGGGCAGTTGTCTCTCAGCCATATGGCCGGGTAGAGCGACTCTGCACCGTCATGCCAGAGGACCTGCATCAAGTGAGCCCCGTCCAGTGCTTCTGCCTTTTGGATGGCACAATGCATGTTTCCGGTCTTCAGGGGTAGACCCCGTCAGCTACCTGCTATGACAAATCAGTGTTTAAAGGAATTTCAGGCAGATCAGATCTGAACTTGATCTGTAAGAATATGAACAGTTCAGGTGGACTCTGGCCTCTGCTACTTGCTCAGCTGCCAGTCAGCAGTTTGGCTTATTAACGCTGGGACCTTTGTTCTGGTGTGAATATTTTATATGCTGTAAACAGAAACTCAGTGACTAAAAGTGCATAAGATAAAATTTCTGAGTTGGGATCTAGATGAAAAGAATTCCTTGTTTTTCTCCCAGAAATTTTAGATAGTTCAGAACCAATAATAGGTGCTTTTATAATTTGTTTCCATAAGAGCTTTGGAATTTTTTAAGGGAGTAAAATGTTCCCCAAATTGAAAGTGTGATAATTATACCTGTGCTATTTCAACTGATGCCCAACTGCACATAGCTTTTGGAAAAAAGTGCTTCTATGATACTAAATTAATAAGGTTGTTTTAAGGAAGAAAATATTAATGCAGTTTATTTATCTTAAGGGATACTGCAATTCAGAACGTTGTGCTATTTCTGTTCTGTCATTCATTTTTTCATTTACACAGTATGTTTTCTCACTGAAATATAAAAGTTCCTAGGCTCTGCAAGGAACTTGTTTGGTTTATTTTCTGAGATTTTCTGCTATAATATACATCAGTATAGAGTGCATTGATAGTCTGATTAGTTTATTCTGAACCTTTATGGCGTACTTTTATGTACCTTCATTTTACTTGGGAATACATGGCTTTTTTTAATTAAGAGATCAATCAAATTTGAAGACATGCAATGTTTATAGGAAAGGAAATCTGGTCGAAGAGAGGCAACATGAGCAACTCAGTATTGAGCCTGATTTCATTAATGACTATATAGTTGACATCAAAAATCATGGCAATATTCTACATTTCACTAGCTTTATGTATTATTCTCCAGGACTATTAATTTTTATGTAAAATGTAGACTTTATATGGAAGAAGTAAAACATCTTCACTTCTGTATAATAATCAGTTCATCAGTAGTAGAATATATGACAATGGAAACAAGACTTCATTACCTTGAGATGAAGGGAAGGTAGACACACACACACACACACACACACACACACACACACACGCATAATGAGTGCTTATAAAACCCCTTCTATGTCCCAGGCACTGCAATACACCCTAGGGACTTTATTGACAAGCAAGACAAAATTGCTCCATGTGTTTCTTGAACTTATAGGAAGACTCTATACAACATTAAGATAATTTAAAAAAATACTTTACACAACATTAAAATGAAACAACTTTTACGTGATTGATACTTCCCCAAATCATTAGCTTGCATAATTTAGTCAGGTTATGGAGCAGAGTGAACACAGTGAAGACTGCTTTCTTCATTTAACCTAGACCACACTAGTGTAATCTAGTGACTGAATGGGAGAAATATAATTCATTGGGCTTCACGCATATTGTTGCTTGAGAACGCCCATCTATTTTTTCTTAACAATTTGTATATGACAGGAGAGCACTATTCCTTTAAAAATCATAAAAAAATTAGAATTTAGTTCATACCTGTGTATTTAGTTTGTAAGTTTGAATAAGGGGTTCTATAGGAGTTTTAACATCAGTTTCTCTGTGTCATGGGTAGGACATTTGGTTTTCTTGAGAGGAGAAGGGGCAGGCTGGCATGTTTTCTCACATACACAGTTTCAAAGGATAATTATGATTGCAGTAACTCTGGGATAATATAACTAGATCCTTGAATAATATATTACACGCAAGTCCAAAAAAGAGAAATATAGCAAATTTTTATCTATCTCAGGGGTTGGCAAATACTTTCTGTAAAAGAATAGATAGTATATATTTTAGGGTTTGTAGGATACATAGTCTCTGCTGCATATACTTGACTTATTTTTTTTTAAACCTATACAATATAACAATTATTTTTAGTTGATGGAATGCACAAAAACAGTCTATAGACCATCTCTGGACCAAAGGCAGGAGTTTTCCCATCTTTGATCAAGTTACCGTAGTCATGCTTTCGCTACAGTGGAATATAATCATGCTCAAGTGCGGAAAATAGCTCTCTTTACCCTCCTTATATATAAAGTTAAACTTATTCAAATGTATACTAAATATTTTCTTTGTGCATGCTGCACTAGAAGGTACAAAAATGACCATGAAATTCCAGAACTTAAGGAAAAGTGAGATAATTATGAAAATAAACAAAAATATCAGCCTAGGAACGAAAGGCATTGATAGTTTTCTGAGAGGCTGCAGGACATCTCCTTAGAGAAAATGACTATTTGAGTAAGACTTTAAGGATCTGTGATCAATATTGCTGAGTTTATATTGATGCCACTTTATTTTCTTTCTTCACTAATACAACATTTATTTCTCTGGAGCAAGCATATGACTAGTAAACACAATATAATTATGGCCAATGAAATATATTTAGAAGTTGCTGGATAGGGAAATTTTTAAAAAGTAGGTAGACTTAGCTGCCACATCCTGTTTCCCTCTTTCCCTTCCACTTCTTCCTCTCTGGAAGGTGGATGTGGTGGCAGAGCAGTCATCTTGCAACCATGAGGCTACAAGCAGAAGTATAAAAT